TGATCACGGAGGGCCAGGATAAGGGCTGACTGTGCTTCCTTCTGAGTCCAACCATAAGCCTCCATAAGTGTCTCAAACTGTAGCTTGAACGCGGTCCAGGATGTTGTTCCGTCGTAATGGGGAATCTTTAGCCCTTTCGTTGCACTTGAAGCCGCATTCGGGGCTTCAAAAACGGCTGCAAGACGGCTTCGGCTCTTCAAAGGGCTTGGGCTTGTCACTTCCTGCTTGATTTTGGAGATCTCTTCTTCCACTCTCTCCTCTATCGCCTTGACGCGATGTTCCAACTTGCCTAACCCTTCCTCCACTTCTTGTACCCGTTCGACAGCCTTTTGCAGTCCCTTCGTGAAATCCTTATGCATGTCTTCCAAGCGACGCGCTTGCTCCTCTTGGCGGCGAGCTTGATCCTCTTTCAGCTCCCGTAGCTGCTCCGCCTGACAGCGTGCATGCTCCTCTTGGCGACGAGCTTGATCTTCTTTCAGCTCCCGTAGCTGTTCTTCTTGGCGGCGCGCTTGCTCTACCATCATTTGCTGCAGCTGTAGCAGTAGATCCACCTGCACAGGCTTGGCTTCTGCATCGCTGGTTTGAGCTGCAGCACTCTCTTCCCTCACACGCTGCGCTTCTGCCATTGCACGGGTACTCACTCCTCTTACGTCCTGCGGCACTAGCGGCATTTTTCTCCAATCCCACTTCTGACACCAAATGTTACGTGCCTGACGTCACGTTCCTGACTATGCGGGCTTGGGTTACGGGATTGGATGAAATGAAACACTAATACCAGATTTCAGACTTTCTATTGCCCTTAAGTTACAGCGTCCACGGAGTTAAGTTATCGGCGTTCCTCTCCAGCAGAGTCCGGCCGACTGACACAACTTTGCCGTTCACGCTGACTTAACTCACTTAACTGACTGCACTTCACTATTTCACTGCACTTCACTATTTCACTCACTTTTCTTCTTTTTCACTTCTTCCTTTTCTTCCGAATCGCTTTAGACTTAGAACTCAACTGCCAGCGGTGAGCCGCAGTTCCGCTTATATACCCCCGGTTCAGGTTCTGGAACATTCAATTTCGTTATTCTTTTTGATCGTCATGACTCCAGAACCTTCCAATAATTTCGTTACTCATTTTTATTTATTCTCCTTCTCGCTCTTTGATTTTTCATTTCTTTCACACAAATAATTCCAGAAAGTTCCACAAAACTTCTATCAACTAAAAAAACTACATGTTTACGGCGGGACTCGAACTCGGGGTCTCTGTGGTGTAATCCACACGCCTTACCGATTACACCAACTCGTGTTGACAATTCACGACGAAATTTACAATCTCTAGGCAACGTTTGACAACCATCCATTGACGTCATGATGTCAAAGAGTTTGAACCACTTTTCCGTCACAGTATTTTTATACAATGATAAAACAAAATTGATAGAAGCTTAACAGCGATCAATCTTAACAACCAACTTGGGGAGATTTGGTTTCTGGAGTAACAATTTTGACATCGTCATTTGGTCTTTGTGTGAGAAAAGGTTTTTGCTTAGTGGGTATTAATAAGGTGTTGGAATTGGGTGATAAAAATGTTTCCCTTTTGTAGAATTTTGCGATATACGCCACAAGGCGAAACACAACCACAGCGTTGTGTTTCGCCTTGTGTGTGACGTTACCGGAGGCCCAATCCTTCCCCTCCTCAATCCCTAAATCTCCCAAACCCCTAATTCCCAAAAGGTCGGCAATGCACTCGTAGCTTCTCTGTTATTGCGGGTGTCCATGGGCGGCGCTGATTGCTTACCATCAGGTAACCCGTTTGCTCGTTTGCCGACCTATAACATAAAAAAAATGCCAATCGAAAGTTCTTGCCCTATCATTCACCAAACTAAATGTCTTATTTTCTGAAAACATTTCAGGAATAAGTCTGCTTCTGAAGAATCCACCACTGAAAGCTCTAGTCGCACTTCCAGCGTCGATCGAAGGAAACGCGAAAAGCCGAAGTGAGTTTTTTTTTTCAATACACTTCCTCGTTATGTGCCTCTTATCCAATGAAAATCAGGCACGTAATCTATAATAATATTATAAATGCGAAAGTAACTTTGTCTGTCCGTCTGTCTTGTCTTTACACCTAAACTACTGAATCAATATCTGCGAAATTTGGCACAGACATAGTTTGGAACTTGAGAAAACACATAGGATAGTTTTTATACCAAAAATCTGCAGGATGTCACTTGACGTTCATTCCACGTGGACGGAGTCGCGGGCAAAAGTGATACTTATAATAAAAACTTTGACTTTTTCGTGACTATTATTCACGAGTTAGTAATAGGGTTTTTTTTTATTATTGGTTGAGTTACGGTTGCTTACAGTGCGGCCGACGTATCTTGGCGAGTCTGAAGTTAGCCGATTAGCTGCGCAGTACACAATTTTGTTTCTAAAAGATCCATAAACTTTGTTTAAATAAAAAAAAAATGTTTTTGTTTTAATTAAAAGTACTTATTTTATTTTAATTTAATTTAGAATCGTAATTTTTGCAATTTCTATCTTATTACTCTTCCTATTATTTTAAATTATATTCTTTCTTTTATTATTAATTATATTTTGTGTCACTACGAAATATTTTGTGCATGTTGTGACACCTTAAAATGCTGTACATTTAATTTTATTATAGTGTATTTAATGTTTAGATGTAAGAAATAATGTAGCAGCTACTGGTTGTCCATAATTCAATAAATACATCAATAAATAAATAAGTAATTAAATCCATTGCGCAGACAAACGGCTTACTTCAGACTCACCAAGATACGCCGGCCGCACTGTACACTAGCGCTAAATTGCTATCCGCGACAATCCCATAACAAAGAAACCTCATTCTTTTATCTATCACCGATGCGCACATCTTTTTGTATTTTCAAGTTATTTTGGTTTTTTATTTAAGAACTATTTTGTTCAGAATGTGTAGGAAAACGTCGTAAGATACACGTGTGTATTGATGATTACCGTCCTCGGCTTCTTGAGAGCCTCGCCTGTCCAACATTACAAACTTGTACCATAATACAGGGTGTAAAAAGACACTTAATGAAGCCGTTAACAACGCAGACTGCAGTTCTAACTAAGTAGCTTTGCGCGTAAATTATCACTGGGAAACGACTTTTATTTTTAGGTATCAAAAAAAAAAAAAAAATATTGCGCGCAATGTAAAGCAAACGGGCTTCGTGTCATTGTGTGCATAGGTTCACAGCTTAGCATGAAAACGCTGTGATAAGTACGTAGGTCGACGTTTTACTTCGCAACAACAAAACAATTCTGTAAAATAAAAATCCTACTGAGATGCACGATGTTTTTTGTGCGGGTCTGCATTTATTTATTACATACATTACTGTTCGTAACTTCAAATGCGTAATTTATTTATTTAGAAAAATCGAAAATTCAGGTAATGTTTGTTTGAAAACAAGTTTTGTAATAATACTTAGAATTCGATTGCGCAATAAAATAAAAAATAAAAATGCATCTTTGACCTTCAATATCTCGAGAACCCGTGTCCCAGCTATGGTCTTAAAGAAAAAAATGATCCAAATAATTGGTAGAATACGTGGCTTTCGGCTTCGTTAAGTGTCTTTTTACACCCTGTATACTGTTATGTGATGGGCCAGCAAAAAGCAACACTTGATTATAACTTCTCGTGCCGCTATATGAGAGCCAATAGAAAATACATTGTAAATCGTTCACACTCTGGGGATAACTGATTTCTTCAACCATCTGTGGGGATTATGGCAAAGTCTCTATGCCCAAAGTTGACTTATATCTTTAACCATTCATTCGTGGGGACTATTACACCCTTCAGTCACTGGTCCACTGATATTTTCAAACACTCGTGGGTATTATAGAAAACTCTAGGGCCAAAGTTTTCTGCGTTCTTCAACCAGTCATGTTGATTATGGCAAACTCTCTAGTCCTACACTGAGATCTTCAAGCATTCGGGAGATTTGTCGCAAACTGTCAAGTCCTAAAATCTACTGACATCTGCAACCATTCGTAGGAATTATCGCAAATGTAGGCCCAAAGTCCAATGATATATTCAACCGTTCATAGGAATTATCACGAATGTAGACTCAAAGTCCTTTAATATATTCAACCATTCGTAGGATTTCTTGCAAAGGTAGACCCAAAGTCCAATAATATATTCAACCATTCATGAGAATTATCGCAAACGTAGGCTCAAAGTCCATTAATATATTCAACCATTCACGGAATTTATCGCAAATATAGGCCCAAAGTCCATATATTCAACCATTCATGGGAATTCTCGCAAATGTAGGCTCAAAGTCCAATAATATATTCAACCATTCGTGGGAATTATCGCAAATGTAGGCTCGAAGTCCAATAATATATTCAACTATTTATGGGAATTCTAGCAAAAGTAGGCTCAAAGTCCATTAGAATATTCAACCATCCACTCGTGGGTATTATAGAAAACTCTAGGGCCAAAGTTTTCTGCGTTCTTCAACCAATCATGTTGATTATGGCAAACTCTCTAGTCCTACACTGAGATCTTCAAGCATTCGTCAGATTTATAGCAAACTGTCAAGTCCTAAAATCTACTGACATCTGCAACCATTCGTAGGAATTATCGCAAATGTAGGCCCAAAGTCCAATGATATATTCAACCATTCATGGAAATTATCGCAAATGTAGGCTCAAAGTCCATTAATATATTCAACCATTCACAGAATTTATCGCAAATGTAGGCCCAAAGTCCAATAATAAATTCAACCATTCACGGGAATTATCGCAAATGTAGTCCCAAAGTCCAATAATATATTCAACCATTCGTGGGGACTATCGCAAATGTAGACCCAAAGTCCAATAATATATTCAACCATTCGTGGGAATTATCGGAAATGTAGGCTCAAAGTCCAATAATATATTCAACCATTTATGGGAATAATGGAAAACTCTAGGCCCAAAGTCCAGCAGTGATCTCTAATGTTGAATTACAAGATCGTTTATGGTTTTAGGAAACTCAACCAGAAGATGGATTGGCGTGACATAGAGTTGGAACGTAAAGGCAAATTGCGGGAAGGTCTGTCTATGCCCGTCCAGAGTGATAAGGCTATGCGGTAAGTATTATTATTTTAAACGTTGAACCATACTATAAGTTATTATTAGGTCCTGAGTAACTGTAGTAAAGGGTTTCATTTTTATATTTTTCTTTTAATTTTTATTAAATTAAACATAGACATAGAATTTAAGTATCGTTTTATCTTGTTATTTTTAATATAAATAGTAGCATTATTTCCTTAATTTAAAAACACTTATGTACTTATGATTATTTAACAATGTATAATATATTTTACCCATTTTCGCCTGAAACACAGGTTGTCCTAGTTCAGGCACCCAATATTATGAACTTGGTATAGCTTTAAGCAAAACTGTATATTCTAGATTATGTGTTCTTCAATAAATTTTATTTATTTATTTATTTATATTAAAATACCGCGGCCTCGGCCTAGAGCAGGAGAATGAACGAAGGTTTTTTTTAGTCAGTAAGAATCAGACTCCCTCTTTCGTTGCGCTTGTCCCGCAACCTCAGCTATATTCTAGGTGTTAAGGATATAATTATTTCCATGTAATACTTTTCAGTATGATGCGTGGTATGGGATGGAGTGGTGGTGCGCTCGGTGCTAGAGGGAATGGCATCATGGAACCAATTACGCTAGAAATAGACCAGGTACGTTAACATTATTCAGGAATACAGTCAGCGTCTAATGTATAGAGATACTTAACCTCGCATCCGCAGCGAAATGCAAGAACGCAAACTCCGGTTTTACGTTAAATTATTCAAATTTTCGGCTTACTCGTGCAAAATATGATATGGCGTTCAAGTATCACCTGGATTTTATTTCTTCATTCTTCTTTTTGCACCTGTTTTTTTTTCAATTAATTTTGTTTTTTAGCCAAAAGGTGTCGGCTTTGGACACTGGAAAAGAGATAAGGTAAAACCACAAGTTGTACAAAATAAAAAGCCGTTCCCAAAATCGATTCAGGATTGGATTAACGACATCGATCAAACCGATACACCACCTTTGGACACCGATATTATAGTAGAAAAAACTAAAAAGCTTCTCCAAGAAAACATATCATTTGATATAATCATGAACGAAGGTTTTAAAGTACCGAAGGTTCCAGAAAATGTGCCTGTAAGCTCGAAGAAAAATGAGCAACCGAGCTCAACTATTCAGAAAAATTGCCCACAAGCTTCAAAAAATGAGCCTCACAGCTCAAAAACCTTCAAAAATGAACCGCAGTCACCGCAGAACATCAAAAGGTCTAATAATGAGAGTTCGGCACCTCAAAAAAATGAGCTCCAAAACTCAACTACGCAGCAAAATGAGCTGCAGAGCTCAAAAAATGAGCTACAAAACTCAAGATCTAAGATATTAATTGTATACAACTCTCAATTAGATACTATGCGTGACGATAGTACTGCTTCATTGCCAATAACTTCAAGAACCGTATTAAGGTCACCCCGAGACATTAGGAACGATTTTTTACAAGCTATGCTTGACATTTTCACAAAAAATCTACAAGTGAAAACATTGAAATATTTTAAAGGCATTTCCGGTAAGGAGAAGCGTTTCTTCAAACAAGCTTTGGAACAATTAAATCTTGACAACGCTAAACATTTTCCGCCACTGGAAAAAAACATTGTGAAGAAAATTTTGAATGAATATCGAGAAAGACCTAATATTGTGGTCAAGGCCATTATATCTGATAGCACAAAGTGAGTATTGTTTATTCTTATTAACTTGTTCTGCTATGAATTAAGTAGTTGAGGTGGCCCGGAGGTTAAGGTGCTTGCATATCATGCATAACAGTGTTCGAAACTACTTTCTATGATTGTTAAGTTTCAGCCGGGGTTGCGGGGCAAGCGCAATGAGGCACCGCGACCTTGGCCTAGAGCAGGAGAAGGAACGGGGGGTTTTTAGTCAGTAAGAGTCTGACACTCTCTCCCGCCCATAGTCGGGCGGCCAAGCCATTTGATGATTTTCTCCTCACAAAAAAAGACTTATAAAGTCAAGATTGAAAATAATTTATTTCAATTAGACCCATACAGGCACTTTTGAACGTCAATCAAAATTTTAAAGATATAAAGTGTCAGTCTGTCGATCAGTTCTCTTATGCTATTTGCCCGTTCCAAAGTATAGATTCCGATGGAAAAGAACGAGCAAGAATTTCCATGGTTGCACTTTATAAATCAGTGTCACGTAAAGATTTAGTTGGTTTGATTATGTGAAAACAATACACACAACAACAACATAATATTTGTACACCAATTCGGTATAATGTGTAAGACTTTTTGTATAAAATATTTTTATCATTACAGGGAACTCAGTCTACGCCCAATACCTGTAAAATTATTACCAGTAAAAAGGCTAACAAACGAAGAAAACATTAACACATACGTACATACATCTTTACCTATATTTGCAACGCAAAGCCAATTTTATGGTTTGAAACTAGCTATTTCAATCTTACTAAGTCTAAAGGATTTTTTGAATTCGAAAAGTGATGAATTAGATATTGATTTTACTAAAGTTTTGAATAGGAAACAAATAAGTTATGTGGAACATACGGTGGAGAATATTAACGCGAGAGTCAAGAACGGCAGTTCGCCAGCTGAAGCTAATATTTCAACGGAAATTTTGAAAAGTTTGCAAGATGACCAGTTGTTCATCAGTGTTATGTTCGACCATTCATACAGGTAAGTTAATTAAGCTTCTCCTATTCATTACACGTAGGTTTCCATGTCAAAGGGGAAGGATTGCATGATACATTTCATTCGGGGTTAGATATTTGTATGTTGAATTTTCAATATTTTTTATGGGGCGAGAAGAGGTGATTAAACGAGCAGACGGATTACCTGATAGTAAGCAAACGGCCCCGCTTATGGACACCGAATGCGTTTCGAGTTTTCGTTGCCGGCCTTTTGGGAATAAGGGTTGCAGATATTTAAGGATTGGGAAGGGAAAGGGGAGGGGAGGGATTGGGCCTACAGTAACCTCACACTCCGTCGAAATAGCGCTATGGTTGTTTCGAGCCCGTTTTCTGTGAGACCGCGGTGTCACTCCGGTCTAGCCGACCCATTTGTCCCGAAGCTTGGTTCTCCCACACTTTGTTATTCCGTAAAATTATTAATGCCCAATGTAATGAAAAAGATAACCAGTTTCGGTTATTAAATGTGTATATTCTGAACCTATTACGAACATCCTTTCTTTAAAAATCATAATTTTCTTTACAGATCATTAACATTTACAAAACACTTCCATAATCTTGCTCCAAACAGCAGTAAACCTAAAGAAATAAGTCACACTGTTATATATATGGATAGTACAAGCGATAGTTCTAGTAGTCCTTATAAAAAGCCAAGTAGACCTATCATTACGGAAGCAGACATCACAGATGACGATGCTAGTAGTTTAAGTGAAGATGTCCATCTTCCTAAGCTCCCTCCTCTACCCGCTGGCAAAGAAGGCGTAAACTTGAAAGAATACGCTAAGCTATACAACAGAATGGACGAAAAAGAAAACACATCAATCGCTGAGAAGATTATAAGAATAATGGAAAATAAAGAAACTGATTCTGATAATGAACTTGGTGATAGAAAAACCTTGGTTCGCACGGATTATGCGAAAGATAATTGTGATACGTCAGTAGAATACATCGTTTGTGTAAACCATCAAGAGACTTGTGATGATGGAATTCCACAAAAAAATATGGATGATGATGCTAATAATGAAAAAGACGCAAATGATCTTCCAATATATGAAAAACTACCTATATTCGAAGGTACTGAATCAAATCCAATGAAAAGATCGAACGAACTCGATTCAAGCTTAACAAAACAAAAGAATACATCTTTAAGACTTGTTGAAAACGAATCAAAACTCGATGTTACCGAACCAAATAACGCCATAAGTAAAGACTGTGATTTTTCTAAAATTAATTTAGATTTAAGTGAAGATATATGTGATAATAATTTGGAAAGTGTTAAAAAGACGGATAGAATTAAAAGTGGAGTGAAAATAGTGTATATAGTACACGCGAATGATCCAATAGATAAGATTAATAAAGATAAAGCAAGAGAGATTCAAAAGGTTATGTCGGATAATATAGTAGGGGGCAAAAAGTTACCGTTGCTGAAATGTCACGGCTACCAATACGATTCGTTGATTTACTCCTGCCAAAACCAAGATTCGTACGTTTGGCTCGAAAGCGTGATTCAGTCAATTGGTGACTTAAAAATATTGATTAAAAATCATACAAAAATGGTATTATCATTAAGGTGTTTATACGACTTTGATACACATTTTCTATTTAATATGTTAGAATTGTATAATGAAGGACTATCCACTAAGTATTGGGAAGTTGTGTGTAAAAAAGAACATGAGGATTTATTGGTGAGAATGTTCGTTGTAGAAATGGACGAAGCGTCCATTAATTATATATTTTCGTCCAACATGGCGTTGTACGCCGGTGTCGATAAGGTCGAATTTACTCTGGCCTGTGGGAGTCAGTGAAACTATACCTATCATTAATCAATAAATATTTTGATTTGATTCACTTGTTTTATTTCCAATTTATCCAAAAATGTTGAGGTAGTTAATATTTTGGTCTAGTTTCCGCCCGCTGTTTAACCCGCGTTGTATGGCCTATAATAAGTTAATCCAGGGTATCGCCTATCTACATACCAAACAATCAAACTTATACTGACGCATAATAAAATGACGGATGAATCGGATGATATATAGGGAACTTATAACTCGGTAGTTATCAACAACTAAGACAAATAATTGCCTTCTACTGTTGTAATTTGCTTTTAGATACTTATATACTCAATTTATGTATTTAAGTGGAAAGGTGTTCCTCTGCCTATACTAACTCAACTTAAAAATCTTCACGACAAATCAGTGTACAGAGTTAACTACCCACACCCGTTCCTTCCTCTTGCTTTGTACCTATTCATTACAAAAAAATTAAGAGTGGAACAACAGGAGGCAGAAAAACAAAAGCATAAGTAGGTGTAGGTATTTGTAGGGAACGGCGATAGTAAGTAAGGTGGCGAAGAAATTAAGCGTCCAGGGTGCACAACAGACGAGAGATGATCTCCGGCCACCGTAAGCGCGGGTCTGCGGACGGCGAGTAAGGGTAGCTCGCCGCCCGACCAGAACCAGACCTGAGCGTACGGCGCGTAGCGTTCCGCGCGCGCCTCAAAGAGCCAATAGACCACCACAGTCGGGGCCCAATAAGACTGATGTTTAGCCGGGGCTGCGGGGTAAGCGCAATGAGGCACCGCGACTTCGGCCCAGAGCAGGAGAAGGAACGGGGGGTTTTAGTCAGTTACCCTGGGCGGGAGAAGTCATTGGATGATTTTCTCCTGACAAAAAAAAACGGTGCACAACAGAAGGTATGAAAGTTTATTACACACAGAATACACGTACAGTCAGATACACAATAAGAAAGCAGAAAGAAGGAGTGAATAGCACAAGCACATTTACAGACAGTCTATTGTTAATACTAGCACTAGCGGCACTAAGAAAGCTAGACTTAGAAAGCACTGTAGTTATATTATAGTGTATCTTAAAGAATAGTAATACTTTTTACCTTAGGACAAGTTTTATGTTGGCTCAGAACTTGCAGGTAAAGTGTAAGGGTTCGCCAAAAAACTTTAACAGAAAATTGACATCCCATGCCCTAAAGTAGTCCAGGAACGCACACGGGAGGAATCGACCTCATGGACAGTTGTATAGGACAGTATCGTATAAGAGTCAAAAGTAAAAAATAGGTACCCATATGAGACTCTCTTTATTTTTCTATAAATTCATATATCGCAGATCTCCGGCATTTATAGTTCCGTGTTTAGTGTCAGTATGCTCATAAACACGGAAGATATTTCAGGGATCTCCTCAGAAATCAACAGAAAAAATTTAGGTATTTTCGCTTTTTTTAAGTTATGACAACATTCGAAGTTGAAAGAAAAGATTGTGAGGAAACCTGGGCTACCTAATTTCTAATTATAGATAAGGTTGAAATGACATATCCGCTTTGAGTAAGTATGATGATTAACATCCATTCAAAACGAAACGCCCTGTCGAATAAAACACCTATAATCTTCCCGCCAGTGCAAGTAGTAGGTAAATAATCAGTATCGACAAAGTGATTATAGAAAATGGGCAGCAACACTTTTGGATTAACACGGCCCTTAAAAATGGGTTCTTCAATCGAAGGGAAATAATCTTATACTTAAAAGAGGTCTATGCATAATATCACGGACTGTGAGGAAAATACCTACATTTTTTTTTTTTTGGAGTCTGTCATCGAAGGCAGATTTGGGTATGATATATGTGAAACACAGATGTGAAATTGTATGTTTGTAAACGCATCCGACACAGGAGAAAATCTAGTGTGGGGATGGGTTTTATTTAAATAAAAACGTAAGATTCGTCTAGTTATTGGATGTACCTAACTATTGTAAAATAAAGTCAAAGTGTGACTGCACGGTTGGTGCGGTGACAGGGTAACTGGCTGCCGTGCAACGTATCGCGGGTTCGATTCCCGCACGGAACAACACTGATGATTAGTTAGTTTAGAGATGATGATGATGATAGATGTTGGATAATTCTGGTTGAGTTAGGGATGCGCAGATCGGCCCGCGGACGACAGACTCGGGGTGTCTTGTCGTCCGACCAGCAGCAGGCGTCAAGGCGGCGGCGCCGTCTTGCGCGCGCGCCTCATAATGGTGTCCTGCGGTCGGGTCTGCCTGACTATGTGGCGGGCCAATATCCGTCGGGGGATGCGACAAATGCTTCGGAGATTCCCACCCCTCTTACACATGGGTAAATGAGGAAAACAGAGTTGGTTTTTACTCAGTAAGGGTCTGATAGTTCCCTTCGCCCTTCCCCGAGGGCGGTGGGTCTCTATGAGAATTGTCCGACCCGATGTCAGTAAATATTAGTGAATGTCAAATTTCGACCCAACCAATTATATCTTTGATTATGTGGCTGTTAAAATGTTTGTTTTTAAACTGAATCTATAAATAATTTATAGAATCAGGCGTTACTTTACGGAAATCCATGACATTAAATGTTAGGAAAAATATTTAGTTTTTATTCCGTTTCGCGGTCATCTACAGGGGAAAAAGGGACAAAGTTAGCCTTGAAGACGCTAGGTGTGCTCAATAGATCGAGACAGTGCTTCAGTCTGGGGCATCGCATCGGACACTATGGAATGTGGAATTGCGAAACTTCGGCACGAATGGGACGGCTCGACCTGGGTGATACCACGGCCTCACAGAAAACCGACCACAGCGTTTTGTGAGTGAGGTCACTGGAGGTCCAATCCGTCCTCCCCCCCATCCCTTCCTAATCCTTAATTATCCAAAACCCTAACCCCTTAATGCCGGTAACGCACTCGTAATTCCTTTGGTGTTACGGGTGTCCATAGGCGGCGCTGATTGCTTGCCATCAGGTAATCCGTTTGCACGTTTACCGAGCAATAAAATAATAAAAAAAAAAAAAAACTGCCGTGCCGTTCAAATCGTTGACTGCTATGTTATCTCGGACTGGCTGGACTCCTGTGCGCTACGTAGAGATGTAGCCTCGCTATGTGTTCTCTATCGCATTTATCACTGGGAGTGTTCTGAGGAATTGTTTGGTTTGATCCCCGCCGCATCATCTCGAAATCGACCCAATCAACGAGCCTGTGATTCCTCTGGTAATGCAGGTGTCCATGGGCGGCCCTGATCACTTACCATCAGGTGATACTTCTGCTAGTTTGCCGCCTAGTCGACAAAAAAAAGTTCATAGGAAACTCAAATGTGTTAAAAGCGATGTTCAGCCTCTGCTCTGGGTAGGAATTGGAACGGATAGATTTTCAGTCGTGGTGGCCCGGAGGTTAAGGCGCCCGCTTCTCATGCATGAGGGTGCGGGTTCGAAACCTGGCAAGTACCAATATGACTTTTTCCGAGTTATATGTACTTTCTATGATTATTTAGACACCACTGACATACGGTGAAGGTAAACATCGTGAGGAAACCTGGACTTATAATTTCTAATTATAAGTTTGAAATCACCAACCCGCATTGAGCAAGCGTGGTGATTAATGCTCTAACCTTCTCCGTGTGAGAAGAGGCCTTTGCTCAGCAGTGGGCACTTATAGGCTGATGATGATGATGATGATGATGATGAGATTTTCAGTCAATAAGAGTCAGACTCCCTTACGCGTCACCAGGATGGGAGGAACTATTCGGTGACTACACCGATTAAATAAAAGGCTTTCATTTGTGAGAATTCAGGGTGGTAGGTACCTGGGGTTGCGGAGAAAGCGCAATGGGGCACCGCGACCTCGGCCCAGAGCAGAAGGAACGGGGGGTTTTTAGTTAGTAAGAGTCTGACACTCTCTCTCGACTTACCCTGGGCGGGAGAAGTCATTGGATGATTTTCCCCTGACAAAAAATAAAGGTACCCGGGCGTAGAAGGCGTAGCGTTGCGCGCGCGCCTCAAAGAGCCATAGACCACTAGATGCGGCCCAACAGGATCTGTGTTCAGCCGGGGTTGCGGGGCAAACGAAATAAAGGCCGCGGCCTGGGCCTAGAGCAAGAGAAGGAACGGTGGTGTTTTTAGTCAGTAAGAGTCTGACAATCCATCTCATCTCACCCTGGCCGAGAAAAGGAAGTCATTTGCTGTTTTTTTTCCTTAAAAAGGGGTAATATCTTATATATAAAAATGGATCGCAAAATGTGTTGGTAACATACACGTGTAACTCGACAACGCCTGGGTCAATTTTGCTAATTCTTTTTTTGTTGTGTTTATTATTGTCAGGAGCAGGTTCTTATCAAAGAAAATATTAGAAAAGTAAAGGGGAAGATTAGGAAAAGGTGACCCTTTCATAGCGAGATAGACCCGTGCGAAGCGGGGGCGGGCCGCTAGTACTTAAATAAAAATCAATTTAGAAGCGTAATCATTTATTGCTATAGGTAATTATTAATTAAAATGAATACTTTTAGAATATCAGTGCTGAGGTACCAATCTTTTTGTATAAAAAACATTTTGTTTTTTCTAACCTAAATAAAACAATACAAATCATAAGAAAATATGTCTATCTATACACGTAGCGTTACATGAGCCGAGTTCGTTATGTTTGTAATTGAGTTAGCAAATTTGTAACTGTTGTACTATTCCATTCACGGGACCACAGGGTCTCGGACTTGTGGAAGGCGTACGAGGGGCCAAAGCCAACTCACAGAGGCCCTTTGAACAACTTTAATATAAGTGAAATGAGACATCAGCCGACAATTATCCCTGTATGCACTATCAAAGTGCACCTAAGGACAATCCCCGGTTAATGCAGGACTATTGCGAAATGTGGTAAAATAGAGAGAGTTATATGTACTTTCTATGACTATTTAGACACCACTGACATACGGTGAAGGTAAACATCGTGAGGAAACCTGAACTTATAATTTCTAATTATAAGTTTGAAATCGCCAACCCGCATTGAGCAAGCGTGGTGATTAATGCTCTAACCTTCTCCGTATGAGAAAAGGCTTTTGCTCAGCAGTGGGCATTTATAGGCTGATGATGATGATGAATGTATGTATTAGTGTCATTATGGATATGAAATTTTAGATAAGGATTGGATACGGATATGAAATTATTTCGGATTATCCGTTAGTTTCAGATAATTTCGGTTACGGATATGAAAATTTTAAGGCATTTCAAAAGTAATTTACAAATATAACGTGACTCAATTAAGCTCGCCCTATCCGATATTACCCGAAACTTTTTTAGGATTCAGTTACGGTTCCAAATATATTTTATATCTGAAATCCGATAGTTTCGGTTTCGGTTACGGAGCTTACTAACATCCCTGGTATGTATGGCTGTATGAACAACATCAAAATATGCAAAATCCTAGCATCTGACTAAAAAATTATACAAAATTTAATTTCCAAAGTATTGGTACCAAAATATGACAGTTTTATTGACCATCGACAACAGCCTCTGGTTTGGGCCTTAGCCCTCTAATACTGAGATCATAGACAACCTCTTCTATCTTCTTCACGTCGTATTTGAGTACATCGAAGCGCTTGCGGAGATGATCATTCTTCAAATTCAGTAGCCTGCAAAATAAAAAAAAATATATATTAAATTTACATATACACACATGTATTTAAATACATAACTTTAAAATTACATTTTTAAATTATACTAAGTATAAAAATAAAAAAAGATAATATTTAAAAATATAAAAATTGAAGTCAGCCGGCAGCGGAAGCAAGAGATCTACAATATTTATTTTACAATGTTCTACAGGATGCATTTTGGAGAGTGTGCGCAGGAATTGCACGATTTGATTCCGCCATCCCCATTTCACCTTCGGACATCTCGGCGTACTGTTAGGACGCGGCTGGTGTTAGACTTTTAAAAAAAAACCACTGATACTGCTAACACTATTTTAATGAAAAGAACTTGAACTTTACAAGAATTAGAGTAAAGGATTGTCTTAAACTCGTCAGGATAAGATATTGACAATGTGACGGCACCGGTAGACTGAAGCCGCCACGCGGTTGCAAGTATTTTTATAGTAATCAAAAATGCATGCATTTGCAATAACCGCGGACTAATTGTGAATATAACAGTACGGCAAATATCCACCCCTACGTTGCTGAGACACCTGCGGCTCCGACTAAGCGTCTTGCCTCGTCATTTATACCGCGCACATCGAGGGATTGGAACAGTTTGCCGGCTGCAGTCTTTCCGTCCGAATACAATTTAGGTTTCTTCAAGGCTAGAGTGAATAGGCTCTTAATAAACTAGTGCACCTCACCATCAACGATTGCATCACTGCTTACTACCAGGTGGGATCGCAGTCAAGCACTAGTTTATAGCAAGTAAAAAAAAAACACAATATCTCTTAAGTGAGGATACTTATTATGACAGACGGGAAGCTACGGAACCCTACACTGAGCGTAGCCCAATACGCTCTTGGTCGGTATTTTTACACAAAGAAATGAATTGCTATTTATTAGTCTCGCTAAAACTCGAGAAAAGATGGACCAACATGGCTTACATGAAATATTTCTGGATATTTAAAAGGCCAGAATATTAAAATGAAAAGATTTTTCGTCAAGTACATAATTGCGGTTTGTACGTTAACACCCGGTTTCTGAAAGGCTTGTCAAAGCTAAAATTAACTAATCTCCTGTTAAATCTCTTGTCAAGTCATCTGATTGGTTGTTGATAATAAAGTCAACCAATCAGATGACTTGACAGGAGATTAAATTGATTTTAACATTGATCGTCCTGTCGGAAACCGGGGGTAAATATACTTAAAATTTTACCTGAAGCCTGCATTTAGCTCCATGACGAACTTGGAGATCTGCATAGGTTTCTCGAAGTCGCCGCGTGTCACTGAATTCACTGCAAGGCGTGACTGAAAAATATACAAAATAAGTTAAACCCGATTTCGGAAAAAACAGGAGAGTTTTTAAATATTGACTATCGTGAGACATACTACTAATTTACTATTAAAAATAACGACTAATGGAGAAAAGCTCTACTAAGCAAACAGAAAACCGGCGTGAAACAACCCACAGCGTTGTGTTTCGCCGTGTGAGTGAAGTTACCGGAGGCCCAATCCGTATCCATGCCCCCATCCCTTCTCAATCCTTAAATAGCTGAACCCCGGCAATGCACTCGTCTCAAATTTTGGTGTTGCAGGTGTCCATGGGCGGCGCTGATTGCTTACCATCAGGTAATCCGTCTGCTCGTATCTCGTATTCTCCACTATTTAATTAATGTTATTAAACATAATATGTAAAAACCGACCGTATCAGAATCCGTTGCGTAGTTTTAAAGATTTAAGCATACATAGCGATATAGGGATAGAGAAAGCGACTTGGTTTTATACTATGTAGTGATATTTACCAGTTCAGAACACAGCTGCAGCAGTCCATTGAGGTAGTCTTCTATATCCAGGTGGAAACCAGTCTTACTTTCAACGGAGCTTACTGAAATCATGAAAAAATGTGTTAATAACAATCCCTGCTAATATAATAATCTTACTTATTTTTGAGAGACAATCTCCAGCCACGGTAAGCGTGGGTCTGCGGGCGCCTCGAAGAGCCAAAAGACCACCACAGACGGCGCCCGTTACGGGGCAAGCAATAATGCAAAAAATAATAAGGCACCGCGGCCTCGGCAAAAAACAGTCGAAGGAACGGAGTGGTTATTAGTCAGTAACAGTGAGAGAGTGTGTCAACACTCTCTCTCTCTCTCTCTTGACCCTGGGCGGGAGAAGTCAGTGGATGATTTTCCGCTCACAAAAAAACTAATATTAAAAATGTGTTTTTGAGAAATTATGTATGATTGTGAGAATTTTCATAATGTGGGTTTCTTACTAGACGCTTAAGATATTAAGATACCTATAAGATATTGTAAAAATAAATGAAAATTTACTTCTTAGAATGAATTAGGGAATGATTACGGGTACGCTTAAGATTAAATTTTTAAGCATGTGAAAAAATTACTAGATATTTGCCGAGACCTTTACCTCCAACGTAAGATTAAATAATTAAATTGCTCTTAAACATCTCACGTATTTTATAAACACCCCCGAAACCACAAGCATGTACTTTTGAAACGTCAAAATGGTCTGTCAGTCAGTTCCTCAGTGAAGCTAGGTGCTTGTTACTAAGTTTAGATTCGAATGGAGAAGAAAAAGAGAAAACTCCATAACTTTTGGTGTGTGATTGTGTGGCTACCCTATTTATTTTTAAGCAATTATTTTGTAACTTACTGCCAAGCATTTGTGCAACGGTGTCATGTGTGGCCAGGATCCCTGTCTCCAGCCAAACTGTTAGAGCAATCAGAAAGCAGTATCGCTGTGTCATGTTACGCCAGTGCTCTTGGTATCTATAACAAATAGAATAGTATTATAGTAAAGTTAATTAATACTGATATTATAAAGAGATAATATTTGTAAGTTTGTAAGTTTTGTAGGGGGTAACCTTTGAAACCGCTGGTCGGATTGCCAAAATACTTTCACAGACAGATAGCTACAAAGTCCCTGAGTGCTATAGGCTATAAAACATCATGCTACGATTAAAAGTAGCCGAGCAACGGGTGAAACCGCGAGAGAGTAGCTAGTTAATAATAATAGCTTACAAAATTGAAGTGAGAAAACTATAAAACTTCATGATTCTTTTCTGAAGTAAGTAATCCTTACTAATATTATAAATGTAACTCTGTCTGTCTTTTTTCACGCCTAAACTATTGAACCTATTTGTGTGAAATTAGGTACAGATATAGTTTGGAACTTGAGAAAGGACATAGGATAGTTTAGAAACCAAAAATCTGCAGAAAGTCACTATTCCACGGGAACAAAGTCGCGTGCAACATATCATAACTTTAAGAAAGTTAAAAGGCCCACAAATTCTGGTAAAAACCAAGATTTGCTCTATGGTTGTAAACAAAACATACCAGTGATGTTAGTATATGTATTGTTTACAATAAAAGTACTTACTTGTAGTAATCATTAGGAGGAAGAGCTTCTTTCAATCTGGCGTATCCTTCTTGTGCCTTCTCAAACAATTCCCTAGCCTTGAGACAGGCAGGATTAACTGCAAAAATACATTTTTTTATATAAGTAAATTATCATAATAAAAACTTTTTGGTTACAAAATAGTTTCCATGCTTACTGCCCGCTTCATTGTGGTGGATAACTTGAAGCACTGTGGTCGCTTCCCGCGATATTTGACCGACATCCTTGCAGATATTTCGTATAACCTACATTATAATAAACGTGTTAAAATCTTTTGATTTTCCCTATTGTTCTAATCCTAATCGCTAGATAACACACCCCATACCTTGAATGTTAATATTAACCGTGACTTTATATCGTATTTCTACTGTAAACACACCGAAATAAGACACGAATACAAAATAATAATTGAACTCAAAAATTATGATTTGCATACAAAGAAAAAGCACGTGTACCTCTCGTATCTCTTGCTCTTTATCCATATTCTTCTGGAAGTCCGTAAATAAACTGTTTATTACGTGATTTTCACACATTTTCGCTGATTTTCTAAAATAACCCGCGGTAAAAACAACTTTCTTGACAGATGAGAAATCAATATTTTTGGTAAAGTTGAACGCACTTTTTTTCTTAATTTTGCGTTTAGTTATTCCTTTCATGAGTTGGAATTATTTTTCGGATTTCTATTTACCTAAAAAAAATCAATGTTCATAAACATCAATTATTACAGTATAAATATGAACACTACATTTTATATGAACAAAATGGTTTATGATTGGCAGCCAACAACTGTGCAATTTACGCGAAATTGCCTGCGGTTTAAAGGTAACGAGAAACGAGTGTACTCTTTCTTAAATCACCGACAACATGCCTGTGACTCCTCTGGTGCTGTGGGTGTCCATGGGCGGTGTCGATCACTTACCATCGGGTGATTCGTGTGCTCGTTTCGTCATAATTTTTTTCTTTTTTTTAATAAATTGCCCCTCACTAGGATTTTCTCCTCACGGAACAACTCTGTGATCCACAGATTATTGTTCCGGGTCTGAGTGTGATGTGTATGTTCGTAAACGCACTCACAACACAGGAGAAAGTCCTAGTGTGGGGCTTAGATAAAAAAAAACATTCAAATCCCTGTTAGGGTCAATTCTTCTCCTGCCAAGTCAAAATCTCAAAGGATAGAAAAACAAATCTTTCTTTGTAAAAATGTCAGTCTTTTTGTAACTAAGACAACAATGCAGTCAGGTTACACAGAATATCAAAAGCTTTCCATCATCAGCCTAAAGGTGCCTACTGCTGAGCAAAGGCCTCTTCTAACATGGAATATAAAAAATGTTCTTAATTAAAACAACAAGTCACCTTCAAAACCACATTTTATTTATTCTCTTAATATTTATAATTGCAACTGTATTAAAATCAACACAAAAAAAAAGCAAATCAATTATTAACACCCAATGATATGGAGTACTTTTACCTGTTTCTTATTTATACTTTTGCTTTGTGATAGATGGTTTACCACCAAATAAAGCTAGCTACATTAGTATAGAATATTATTAAGACATGCTAAGATACTCCATATTTCATTAGGCTTATAATTGAAATGTTTTAGCCGGGTGGCCAGTGCATCTGGCGGCCTCCCAGAATATGCACATGCAAGTGATAGACACTTTGCGCTCCATTCTTGCCGTCATTGATAACTAAACGGAATCCAGACTTGTCCAGACCCTCTTGTTGGGCAACCTTCCGTGCAACAATTAGCAGATGTCCTGGAATTAAATAAAAAAATATTATAGCTGAATGAAATGAGGTTGAAGTAACAATGTTGTGCACTATGGTTTTATGAAAAATCCATTATTGGTTATGATAGGATTTGATCAAGCAATAACAAGAATTACTGATTGGTTACTTGAATTTTACCTAATAATTGTTCATCATTGTCGTCAGCCTTGGAGAGCTGAGAGATGGGTTTTCTTGGAATCACCAGAATATGGGTCGGAGCTTGAGGATTCACATCATGGAAGGCCACACACTAGGAGGAAATACAGTTTTTAATTTACTTTTAATATTTGTTCTGTCTTAGATATTGAACAATTAGAATTAGTTATGTTAGTTCTAGAAACAATTATTCAGAAAAAAATCTAATAAGAATATTCTTTCAACAGCTGATAAAACGACATGGAATTGAAATGGAAACTTTGTCGGCCGGTTTCCAGCCGGTGTGAATAAATAGCGTTATTGTTACAAAATTAATCGAATAAGTTACCTGGTCGTCTTCATAGACGAATTTCGCAGGTATTTCCTTTCTCAATATCTTTCCGAATATAGTATCGCCGCCCGGAGCGGCCGTTTGAGCTAAATCAACCTCACCGCCAGCCATTTTAGTGAAAAATATCACAAATGTCAGAACAGAACACAAAAGTTTTATCGGAAACGTCATTATTCTTTTGACACTGACTAGTGCGTTTCTTATTACGTAGAATTTACACAGATGCTTTCAGATGAAGGTCTTTCGGACAAAAAGTTCTTAGCAAAGTGTTCGAAAAGTTAATGCTATCTCGGATGCTTCATCACTTTGATAAACATGCCATCTTCCATCACCAACAATACGGTTTCACTAAAGGTCGTTGTACAACTGACGCCGGTGTCACGTTGATAAAGGAAGTACTCGGTGCTTGGGAGGAAGCACAGGATGCTGTTGGTGTCTTTTGCGACCTCTCAAAAGCGTTCGATTGCGTTGATCATGAAACACTCTTGCTGAAATTAGATCATTACGGGATTAGACATACTGCACTCCGTCTACTAAAATCATATTTAGAGGGTAGGCAGTTGAGAGTTCATGTAGGTGGTTATAACTCACAGGGCTCTGAGATAAGACTGGGCGTTCCACAGGGTTCAATATTGGGTCCGTTTCTCTTTTTAGTGTATGTTAATGACTTGCCATTTTTATTTAAAGCTGAGCCAAGTATGGTGCTGTTTGCTGATGATACATCATTAATTTTTAAAATAGGTCGACGTTCTAATAATTTTGACGAAGTAAACAGCTCCATTCATCAAGTTCATAATTGGTTTACAGTCAATAATTTAGCACTTAACGAGAAAAAAACAAAATGTATTAAATTTAGCTTGCCCAACGTACACAGTAATGATTGTAGCATAATTTTAAATGGGCAAAAGTTAGAATTTGTCAACGAGACAGTGTTTCTAGGTATCACACTAGACAATAGACTTCAATGGGGTTCCCACATAAAGACGCTTTCGGGGAGACTAAGCTCTGCTGTTTTTGCAGTTAGACAGATAAGACAGCTCACAGACGTGAACACAGCAAGGCTTGTCTATTTTAGCTATTTTCACAGCATTATGTCATACGGAATTTTGCTGTGGGGTCGAGCTGCGGAAGTAGAATCAATATTATTCTACAAAAGCGGGCTATCCGAGCGATATATAACTTGCCCCGTCGCGAATCTCTGAGAGAACTATTTAAAACGATAAATATCCTGACGGTGCCTTGTCAGTTTATATATGAAAATATTATGTATGTAAGGAAAAATTTGCAATTATTTGAAAAAAGAAGCGATAGACATAATTTTAATACAAGAGGCTAAGATAGGCTGGCTGTGCCACGATTCCGTCTGTCCAAGGTACATAAATCCTTTATGGGGTTCTGTGTAAATTGTTACAATAAAATTCCAAGTACTGTATTGAATCTTAACGAACGAAAATTTAAAACTTATATTAAACGTGAATTGTGTAGACAGGCATACTACAAACTTTCAGATTATATTGAGGATAAGAATGCCTGGCAGCGTGTTGATTCGGCTCCACTGGACAATACTCAAATATAGTCAGCAGTTAGGTAAAATTCTCAAAAATAATGCATCCTTAATTTATATATCCAAAAAGTTTATATAGAAGCACTCTTAAAGATTGTGAGTACGCATATGTGAGCGCCATGTTCGAGACGACAAAGGAGTAAAATTTTATGATAGGTCCCCTCATTTGTTCTTTTTTTTAACAACTTGTCTCTGCATTGTTCTCACATAAGGGTACACTAATGTATACTATAAATGTTATATTATTGAAATTGTAAAACAATTTTTTTAAAAAAAAAGAGTAACGAATGGAGTTTCTTGCTCGTTCTTCTCCATTCGAATCTACAATTTGGAATGAGCACCTAGCTTCACTGACGAACAGACTGACAGACTACTTTTCTATTTTGACGTTTCAAAAGTACCTATTGATGGTTTAGTTGGAATAAATGATTTTGACTTTGACTTTGAAAAAGACAATTAAATTATTAATATAATTTATTTCTAGTTTATTATGTAGTATAACAAATTTAAATTTGAAAATCTAAACCTATATTTTAATTTAATTCTAGATTGTACAATAAAATAGTAAAAAAGTTCTATCTATAATCTACATCCAGGTCCAACAGGCCACACCATATGATGCAGTGCTCTTCCAAAAACATGTAGAGATTTCAGAGTTTTGGTATGATGCTGCTCGTCAACCATGACATGGTAACCGGTTCTGTCCAGACCTTTCGCTAAAGCAATCTCCTTCGCTACTAATAACATGTGGCCTGAAACAAATAATAATAGCTTGAAAACTTTATTTATGGCTTATTGACTCGGGTTAAGTTCAAGGGGCTTTTGAATAATAGGGTCTGTAGCAACGCACGGTGTTTGGTATAACAACTCCTCCCTCTCCTTTTGGGCAAAAGACTAGGGAGAGTGAGATTTTACCTCACTGTACGCACACACCTATAAGAGACACCGGTTCCTCTTAATAGATCTACTCTCGAATCCCTACGGCGCATTTCTATCAAGACATACGTGACTTCTTTTATCTACGCTGTGCACGGCGGCACGTGGCCACTGATCCACCATCTTTCCTGAAGTCACTGAGAGGGTGTCTTGATTCCCCCCTCTTCTTCCTATTAATACATTTTTAGCCATGATAATAAGTATATGACCGCGATTATCTACAACACGGTGAAGGAAAACATCGTGAGGAAACCTGGACCACTTATAATTTGTAGTTATAAGTTTGAAATCGCCATTTCGTCTTGAGCAAGCGTGGTGATTTATGCTCAAACCTATTCCGTGTGCGAAGAGGTCTTTGCTCAGCAGTGGGCACTTATAGGTTGATGATGTGATGTGATTATCCACTGCTAGATTAGGACAGACCTTTCCTAATTGCGTTTGTTGTAGAATGTCTCCAGCTTAAATGTTTTCTATGTAACTCTAAGAATGAAACAAACAAAAATACGTGACATCAAAATTTTATTTTCCTAACAAAATGGCCATAACATTTGCCGCCCACCAAACACTTGCACGTAAAATTGTTTAACAGTTTGACAGGAGTGTGGACCTTCGTTCATGACAACTCGGAATCCTGATTTATCTATGCCCTTCATGATGGCGACCCGACGCGCGACGAGCAGTAGATGACCTGTGTTTTTAAATTTATTTTTTAGTTGAGTTTTGATTATTGTCTGAGTGAGTCAATTATCGGTTTGGGGAAAATGTTATTCGGTAAGACGTATTTAAGTCATTATGTTACTGAAGCTGGTACACAGTAGGGAAACATTGAAGTGTGGGAGACCCATGCTTCAGTACGAATAAGTCAGCTCGACCCGAGCGATACGGGCATGAAGTAACACTTAAGTTGTGTTTCGCCATGTGAATGAGTTACCGGAGGCCCTTGCTTCCCCCACATCATCCTCTATCCTCATCCTATCCGAAAATCCCTAACAACCCACAAGAG